ATTGTCTCCGCGTTCGATTGGCACTTCTTCGCTCTGAGAGTCGTCGGCGAAGTTTTCGAGAGGTACTTAAAATAAGTTTCACCCGTCGAGAGTGACAGAAGTCGTATCCAACGTTCCAAATTGTACGACCGGCGCATTTTCTGTGACGTTGGGTGCCGGTTACGGGAACTGGCCGCCGTGTAACATTTTGCGACCGTCGGATATTGAGATAAACTGTATCGACGACTGGAAAAACACAGGGCGATTGGCGGACCCTAGGACGGGACCATCCAGCACTAACATGCCGACAAACTCGATTATATAGATTCTGAGATAAATGGTAATGTATACCGTACGGTATGTCGGAGCGTACAATTATCTTTCATATCAAGACAATCTGTAGGCTACGGCAGGACATACTTGTGTACCTGCATGCAAAGATAATACGTACATATTCGAGTATTGAAGACCTATATGTGGAGAACATTGGCCGGTAGGCCAATGTTCCACACCCCTCAAAAACCCTTTTAAGCGTCAGGTTATGGCGAGCCAATCTCTTCCACCTCTTAGTTCGAACTTCGACCGTCTGCTACCGTTCGAATACCTAGGTACCTAGGATAGGTACTGGCCTCTAGGTAGGGGACCGTAGGGCCCGTCGGCGTAGGTGAGTTCACTGTTGAGAGTCGAGACTTCGAAGGCTCAGTAGGAGTCCTTGTACCCGATTGTGAGTACCTAGGTAGGTACCAGGCTAGCTCTACGTAGCGGTACCGTATTTCGAGCTAGGTATGGTAGGTAGGTACTATACTAGGTGTAGGTACTACTTATCTGGCCGGACGCTGGAGCGGCGAGCCACTGCCAAGGACGACAATACCTACCTAAGGCACCAAGGCCCAGGGACCTGTACGACCTGTTCAAGTTGGCAGATCATGGCTCCGGAGCAAAGCTTTGACCCTCCCAAAATTCTGGACTCTGCGGCGTCTCCCTGAACCCCTGTTCGCCGCCCCCGTTCCCCTCTCCCACAGGCAATGGCGCCCTCCAAGCTTGCCCTCCCTGCCTCCGGGCTTGTGTTGCTCCTGTCCCTCCTGCTGTCGGTGTCCCTGGCGAGCGCCCAGACGAGCCTGTGCGACAAGTATACCAAAGCACTCCTCACTGATGTCACCCCTGAGAATGAGTACCTCCTGCTCACGCTGCTTGTCAACCGCGCCTTCGGCGGCAACTTCACGGCCACTGCCGCGGGCATCAACGTCCCCGGTATCCTGGCCCCAGGGGTCGTCAATGGAGAGGCGGTGAACCTGCTGCCCTACTTCAATGGCCAGCTCAAAACCACCAACGAGGACAACCAACCCGCTTCTGTAAACTTCCTGGACGGGGGCGGCGTAGACGCCCTCAAGCAGAACCTCCCCGCTTTCGACAGGACCTCCAATCAGTACTTCTTGCTGACGCATTTGTATCAGTTCTTTGGGGTCCTCCTGGGCTGCTCTCAGCAATCTTCCACCAGGAGTGGCGCCTTCCCCGCCTACCGGGGCGATGTCTCCATGTACCAGGTCCACAAGTTCATGGCGTTGGACAATGCCCAGGTCATGTACTTCAACGGAATGGTTGGGACGGCGTTTGCGTCCTTTGGGGGAGCGCCGGAGGACGTTGCCGCTGTGGTAGCTGCCCTCAATGGCCTCTTTGGGGTGGCCTGCGGGGATTTCTACCCCATTGCTCCCTATGCCCCCCCCGCCCTCCAGTCTGTCTGCACGGTGGAGGGGTGCCCCCTCGCCAGCCCCCCAAGGTGTGACCTTTACGCCGACTTTGGGGCTGCAGTGAATGATGAAGGGACGGCCCCCTTGGCCCTGGCCGCGACGAGCCCCACATCCTGCGATGCTTCGGGCTCGACGCCCAACCTGTGCTACAATGCAGCTGGCTCAGCAGCAATCTGCTGTGCGTCTCAGGTGCGTGTTGCATTATGGACCTTGAAAACCCCCTGACATTCCAAGTGCAACAAGATTGAATAGTTCCCACGGTATTTTCTTTGTGACAAGACTGAATGCTGTCCAAGATCCAACCTTTCTGACAGGAATTATGTTTACAATCAAATTTTGCAGTATTTGTCTCTTGCTGTGTCCGTTCTTGCAATGCCACGCGGCCTGGTCTGGAATATGACAAGGTAGTGATTTCTTTGAGTCAGAATATGCACTATCAAGTCCCCAACTGCCTTCCCTCTTTGGATCTGCTGTATTCAGGTCTCTTTGGGCAAACATCTTTTCTTGAGCATCTCAGAAAGCTCTGTTTCTTTATCTGCCGTCTCGCAATCTTCTACAACCTCTTACTTGCAATGCAGACTCAGACCTTATGCTATCTCAATCCTATCTCTGAATGGAAGAGATAGAGCTTGGCTACTTTGGTTTTTGGCAGTTTTGTGCACTGTAGTTGTCAGTGCTTGACATAATCATCGAGGGATATGCAATTGTCATAAGGGGCCAGATTTCTGGTGGCAGATGGTGGCAATCTCCTGAGTCTCAGGTCAATAATTCAGTGCCTTGTACGGAGAAACCATGGAGTAGAGGTGTTCTTCTAACTAGTATCTTTGCAACTGTTTGCTCGTTGGGTGATGCCGTGTAATCTGTCAGAGCTGTGCCATGGGAATGCCGTTGGGTGTGTATCAAACATCCAGCATTGTCCAGGTCATATCCAGTCAACTGGGTGCCTGGTTGGATATTCTGACAGCATAGGAGTTGTAGTCCTTGTGCTATGCTACAACAAGTAGGACCTCTCAAGACTCAGGCAGAGCATGATCCTTGCACTGCTTAAGCTGCAAGGCATATAGATCTTGGCTTGTGATTGTCCAGAAAAGTCGCTGAATCTGCTTCCTTGGTTTAGGGTTCAACCACGGTGTCGCTGTTTTCCAAGTATCCAGTGAATAAGAAGCATCTTTGGATTTTCCAACACATAATCCTGAAAAGTGTGGGTAAAGAATGTGGTCCTTACAGGACCTGTTGCGCGAAACTGTTCCCCGCTAAAGTTTGATGGGACACCCTTTTTGCCAGCATTGGCAGTGTCCCCACCCACTGAGTACTTGGTGGGAGCAGAACAGGAGTTTCAGTCCTTCTCCTTTGCTGGAACAAGTAGGAACCAGGGCTGAAGTGTCAGTCAGGAAATGATCCAATTCCTTACAGTTTCTCAAGTGGATTTTGGAAACAAATGCTGCACATTCGATTGTAAAATGCACAACGTTCAGAAAGTTGGGAGAACAAACTGTCCTTGCAAACTGCATCACATTCTGCATCTCATTGACGGCTCCGCGCTAAACCCTGATTAGACGCCCTCAAAATGAGATTTCCAGCATTTTCCGCTTCCCCACACGTTCCTCTCTCTTCCCTGCAGTGCCCCGCTACTCCTGGCGACGTCCCCACATGCGGTTTGGGGGGCGTGAAGAGCGCCGCCCCCTGTACCCCCTCCTCCGGCTTCCCCAACCAGTGCTTCAACAGCTTCGGCAGCGAGTCAATCTGTTGCGCTGGCCCTTGCCCATCGTCACCCGATGCTGTCGCAAGGTGCGCTTAGAGCGTTTGGGTCCGTGCGGCGTTGAGAGCCGGGAAATGCTGGGGCTTCAGTGTCGGATGACTTTGAATGAATAAAACAGCAAGAAACCACTCCAGAAAGTGCTAGAGTTGCTGCAATTGCCAGTCAGCAGCCAATTGACTGCCCAATTGGTACTAGGTCCAGCGAAGAGTGAAGCATTTGTCAAAGGTCCAGGTCAACATTGAGTGCTATTTATTTGAGGACGTGTTTGGCGCAGTCCACAATCCTTGCATTGGACATCAAATGGTTTTCATTCAGGTTCGAGGAGTCGGCTGTTGTACTTCGTTGCACGTTAGGAGGTGGTCAGTGGTTTAGCGGCTCAATCATCGTACTTCTATTGCTCGTAGCATGAATACGAACTCTAGGGGCCCTCTATTTGTGAATCTCGAATGGTCAGAATGAATGGAGAATCTTGTCATCAGCAGACCTATCCACTGTTTTCAAAGACTGTGCACGCTTAGTTGAAACCAGATCTTCCAAGTGTTGTCTATCGAGTCGCACTTTGTGGCCGGTGTAGTTCGCATCCTCTGTGGAGCTGAACAAGCCGTTGGATCGAGGGGTTGACCTACGGTAGCAGGCTTACCATCAGCCATGAGTTCCCATGACGTGGTGCCCATTCAGAAGTCATGCTTGTCTTCCACGTGTCATGATATCGTGACTCTGAACCGAGGCCACTGTGCGGAGTTTGGTGATATAGCTAGTGACGCATGGTTCAGGAGACGGTCTAGCCCTCGCGTATTCAATTGGACGGTGTGCCCGATCTCAGACTCTGAATCTGACCGATCACGATGCCAATGCTGGGCTCATGGCGCGCGTACTCCTGACATGCACTTTAACCCAGCGGTGTCCTCTTTGGCGGACTTGGAACCGCTCCAAAACTCATCTCGCGTCGAATCAGTAAGTTATCACATAGGATGTGACTTGCAGCCGTATCAAGCTGCAGGGTACAAGAAAAATAATCCCGGCTTTGCCGGAAAACCGCGCTCGGGCCACCGTCATGTTGGCGCTAAGCTAGGCTGAGGGCGTCGATGATTTAGCAAGAAGATACCATCATATACGTATATCAAGTACGTAAGAATGATCCGACCGAGCAACACTGTGTGGATTCGAGAATGCACCGCGCTATACGTGTATATCACTATGCAAAACATCCCCATGAGCTTACGGTCAGCATACGTGTATTGTTTCTGTCGGACGCTTCAAGAGAGCTTCTTCTTGACCTAAGGATGCAGATCAACGGATCGATCGAGCAGCGCAGCCGTCAGTGGTCACTCACTGCATGCCTCATGGAGCCACAAGTTCCCCCTAATTGGAAACTTACCACTCATTAAAAGCATTAGCTGAGTTATAAGCAGGGGCAGTCTTATCGTCTGGTGCCAGCGGCTTCAGCGCGTGCATGCACGAGGGCAGCCGTCTCGAGAAAGCGCCACGCTCGATCGCTCATATGACGACATCTTTCAGATTCAAGAGCCACCTTTGAGTGACAAGTCTTGATTCCGGAATGAAACTGCTCATGCACGGTGTGATGTTCCTCGCAGGTCGCCTCTTGTGGACCCCTGCTCTATTATGCAAACTAGCTCTGCGCATCTACATCCTCCGCTACACTTCCTCGATCTCTTCGTCGACTTCCTCCCCGCCCCACTCCAGCATCTCGTCGTGCACTTCGAAGCTCTGCTCTACAGGCCGCCGCTGCGGTCCGTCGTTCCGCTGCTCCGGTCTCCAGCCACCCGGCACCGGAACCCCCGGGCCCTGTTGTGGCTGTGGCGCAATCTGGTACTGCTGCCCAGGGACCGCCTGGCTGGTGCCCCAGGGTTCGGCCGCGTGCGAAGGCGTCGGCTCAAATGCGCCCGGTTGAAGTGATTGGGCCCCACTTGAGGGACTGTTTGGGTTCTGCCCCCGTGCACGGCTGGCGTTACGATTGTCGACCGGCCGCGAAACGGCCGGCTGTGAGGCGTTTGGGCGGTTAAAATCTGCCGGGGGCGCATGTGACTGGGGATCCCTTCGAGCGTCGTCAGGAGCCTGCCGCCGCTGCCCAGGGTTCCCGGTTGGTTCCACCCCCGGCCGACTTCGACTGTCATCCACCCGGGGATAAGATGGTGAAGCCGGCGCAACCTCACTCTTATTATTGGCCGGAGGATAGCCCCCAGAGTCTTTCAGGAGATTTCCTGGGGGCCTTGACCGAGTGTCCTGGTCGGAAGCCCATCGCTCCTCGTCGTGAGCTTGCCTGCCCTTTGTCGGCCTCGCAGCATCTGTAGTATCACGATACGCAGCATTTCTGGTCTCTTGATAAGCATTGCCAGGACTCTCCGGATAGCCATCCCGACCGAATCCTTCTTTCTGCGGAGCACGAGACCAGTCCGGCTCACTCTCGACTGGCCGGGCACTGTTCTCTTCCCGAGAATACCCATTGCCGACAACACCGCTTGATCGGTCACCTTGACCCCAACCCGCTTTCCCCCCGGTTGTTCCGTCGTCAGTCTTCTGCATTCCCGCCTCCGGATCGTTTCGCTGGATCATCCGCTTGACGTCCTCTTGCGGCCCGACGCGCACTTCATCCCGGTGAATGCCCCCGTCTTTCTCCCCTGCCTGCTGCACACCGCCTCTTTGCTGTTTCGGCCCCTGCCCGGCGGCTTGCCCCGGGCCTAAAGGCTCTCGCGATGCAAAGTTTCCGGCGAGAAGGTTTCCGTCCACGTTTCCTTGCTGTTCGAGCCTCCTCTCTTCTCTGTACACACCCCCGGCTTTCTCGGCCGCCTGCTGCGCTCCCCTTCTTCCCTGCTCGGCAAAGTGCCCGGGGGCTTGTCCTTGAGGCAAACGGTCGCGGGAAGCAAAGACATGCTCTTCAGAGTGATCCCCCGCATGTGCCTGCTGCTCAAACCGCCTCTCGTCCCGGTAGCGACCCCCGATCGTTTCCTCCACCTGCGGCCCACTCCGTCTTTCCTGCTTGGGACTTTCTGCCAGGTCTTGATCGCGGCCAATACGATTTTCGGAAACAACGCCTCCGCCCACGAAACTCTCGCCCGGTAGATGGTTTCCGTCTACTCGCTGCTCGGCTCGTCTTTCGTCCCGGTGAACTTCTCTGACCGTTTTTTTTGGGCCTTGCTCCGGGGCTAGACGGTCACTTGAAGCAAAGCTACCACCGCCGACTCGCTCGCCAAAGTATTCGTCTGCATCTTTTCCTCCCCGGAAACCCCCCCTGTTGTTCTCCCCCGCCTGCTGCGGTACCCCTCCTTTTCCCTGCTTGCCAGCCTGCCCGGGGCCTTGTCCCACTGCCAACCGGTCGCGAGAAGCAAAGCTCCCACCGACAGCACCACTCTCCGCTTGGCCGCCCCCCTCTTCGTCTCCCGCAAAGTCGCTCTCGGTGTCTTCTTCCTCCACAAGCGTCGACGTTCTTCTGCTCCACCGCCCCGTTCCGTCGTTCCGCACCCACCCGAAGTGCAGGCCGGAATCGTCGAGCGCGCCCCACACGCGCGGCGGGGGCGGCGGCGCCGGCCGCGTGCCGCACGCGGCGCAGTCCTCCTCCGTGCACAGCGGATCCGGGTCGGAGGCGATTGTTCCGTTGGCGTTCCGGCGGATTGCGTGCGTCCGCCACTGGAAGACGGCGCGGTCGTGGCTGCCCGCGCTGATGACGCGCGCGTCGTCCGGTGAGAAGCGGACGTTCTGGACGTGGCTGGAGTGTCCGGTGAAACTGCAGGGTTGGGAGGTTGGTGGGTGAGTGACTGATTAAACGGCAGAAGCAGCAATGAGAATCTGCGACTTGATCATGCAGATTCGATCTTCGCAAAGAAGCGTTGAACATCGCTAGAAAACACCTCGCTCAGTCGCACCTCATTCACGGGGGAAGACAATGTTTTGCTCCCTCATACATTTCGCGCTACCGTCGGGGTCGATCCAAGTCACTGTACTCTGCCAGAGAATGTAGCAGAACGAGATCTGAGCTCGTGTGCTCACACTTTGACCGGCGCGTGCTGCACGACCGCCGGGTAGTTCATGAGACTGACGCGCCCAAAGTCATCTGCCGTGACGAGGTACTGCCGCGAGCGGCTGCGGTCGCACGAGTTGATGTCCGTTCCGTCCATGTCTGTCCGCCAGATGCCCATCACCGGAAAGCCTAGCACGCACGTCCACGTGGCCCAGTCCACGTCGCGCATGCTCGACGTCACCTTGCGGCCAGTGCGCGCGTCCCAGTATAAAATCTGAAAACAGACGAACGCTCCATGTCTTCTGGCCAATCAGCGTTTGGACATATGCGTTGCTGCCTGAGTAAGGCCTTAACGGCCAATCTTTAAATCCAGCTCTCTCATGATTTTCAAAAGAAGACAAAAGTCTGGGCCCGAATCGGCGTCCCCAGGCGTTCTACAACCTGCTGCTCATCAATGCATCCCAGCGTTCCAGATTCTTTTGGATGTCCTGAACCGCCCCTGCCCCTCACCTCGTAGTCGTTGCAGTTGGTCTGCATGATGCTCCCGTCCGCGGACCAGTCCACGTGGCTCACGGTCGCGCTGTGGCCGTGGCAGCGCGCGATGTGCGTGTACGAGTCCCGCGCGTTGTACAGGTCGATGACGAGGTCGTGGCTGGCCGTCGCGAGCTTGGAGCCGTCCGGGGAATACTTGAGGTCGTCGATGCTGTTGGCGCAGTCCTTCCACGTGAACAGCGGCTCCAGGTTGCTAAACCGCACCACGCACGTCTGCACACACAACGAGTTACCAAGCGAGCGGAGTTTTGGTGCGGGAAAAAACGTTTTGACAATGCGCCCCGAAGCCGCTGAGTCAAAAGCCGCTGACGAGTAGAGGAAATGAGATTTGAGTGGTTGACAGTGTATTCATGTGCTTCTTGCCTTGAAGGCAGTCTTTGATTCAACATCCTGCACTCCCACGAGTCGGAACTCGCTGATCTGAAGAGGGTGCCAGAGGCACGAAGTGCTCTTGTGGTGCTCCGGCGAACTAACGAGATCGCCAAAGCAAATCATGGGAGGGTTCCAGAAACAAGCAAAGCAGCCTTTCGTCCATTCCGCGGCCCACCTGTCCGCCTTTCCCCCCGACCGCGATATGCGGGTTGTCGGAGCCCGGTTGGATGGCGACCGAGCGGCAGGGGAAGCCTACTTGGCAGGTGCGCAACAGCCGCCGCTTCATTGCGTCCCACACGTACACGCGGCCAGATTCGCACGCGCTCACGTACAGACTGCCACGTAGAAAGAAACACACGTGTCCGAGTGTTGACATGCAAGCTTGGGCGTTGCCCCTCTGGAGCGCGGTTGAAGACCAAACTGCCCGTCTTCAGACGGCAATCAAGAAGGCCATCTGCTCATCTAAGTTTGCTGAAGTACAAGACCAATCATCCCGAAGTAAAGATGCACATGCCGTTTTTAATCTCTGAACGAAGAAAACCTCCGCCTTCTCCCAGTAACGTGTATCCATCATCCAAAGAGCAGTCTTTATCAACCATCTACATCAGCTTCAAGAGGAGACGTCAGGTCTTAAAGGCGAACATGAGATCTGTACGAGGCGGTTTGATTGGCTCGCTGCGCCCGGCGGGCCTCACTTGGGCAGCTTGGGGTGCCACTCCGCGGTGTAGATGTCGTCCGTGTGGCCGTGGATCAGCACCTCCGCCGACTCATCGCCCACCTCCCAGATCTCGCACTTGCTCGTGCCTGCAATCGTGCGCGCGTGGGACTTAGAAGTGACGATTCTTGCTGATCTGACAGCAACTAGTTGGACCGCAACTGCATCGTCTTGGTTTCAGATTGATTGTTCCTGTTTCTCAAAGAGGGCAGATTGACATGATTATACCAGCTTTCTCGCGTCTCTGAAAAGTGTCGCTGCTACAAATTGCAGTTTCCGACCGTGCTCCCATCAGGCTTTCCTCTCATGATTCAGTCTTCACCGGGCTGCAATCAGCACTTGATTACCTTCAAAATGGCCCCCGTAAGAAGCCCAAGTCTACTCACCGACGATGAAGGTATCGTTGTCATTGTCCACCTGGCAGTCCAGCCCCTTGATGGTGGGGAGCCGCTCCCCCTTGTGCGGGCTGCGCAGAACGTGCGACAGAAAGCCCGGCCGGTTTATGGGCCGAGCGTTCCGGGGCAGCGTCCCCGAGCTGACGTCCCACTGATGCACGAAGCCGTCGCTCCCGGCGCTCAGCAGCGTGCTGCGCGGCAGGGGGGGTGACGTCAGCGGAGAGGGAGACTCGGACGTCAGCGCACAAAATAAGGTCAGGACATCGCTCAACGTGTGCTATCGATGTGCCGTCATTGCGTCGGTAGGAGACTATGAAGACAAGGGAGGGAAACTCATTCTGGAAAACTGTTCTAGGCCTGTGCTCAAACGAATGGCATAAAGACCTTTTGTCAGCGGAACCTATGTGCTACCTCAGAGAGGAAATCAAAAAGCAGAAGCTTATCTAAGAAGGTTATACGCACATCCGGAAGCAAGCATTCTCCCTTTGATTGTTTCCCATCAACACTTGGCGCCTGAATAAATCAGGTGGCAAAAAAGCGGAGAGGAAGAGAGCAACGAGGGCATTGCCGCCAGGTACAAATCTGTTCTCAAATCTACTAAAAAGGAACATCTGCTTGCTTGATAGCCCCTGAAGAACGGGACAAGTTTTAAGCGCCTGCGCCTCACGTCTTGTCGCTCCGTAGGGTGATGCAGCGCAGCCCTCGCTGACGTTTGGCTCCCGTCATCTGCGTCAGCTTGGACGCGTCCGTGTGCGCATCGACGAGGTACTGCAGCTTTCCGTCCGCCCACACGCTGATCTGTCCGTCCAGCGTTCCGGCCAGCACCGTTCCGCTGGGCAGGAACACGCAGCTCAAAATGTTGAACGGCTGCGCGCTGCGGCCGTACGCGCCAGTCATTTCCTGCCACGTGCCGTCGCGCAGGCGCCAGAACTTGAGGTGCTTGACTCCGTACGAAGCCCATACGTTGGGATGGAACGGCGACCAACAAACGCCGAACACCTGGCGTGGAGGCAGGGAGGATTGAGATGAGGACATGACATGCTTTCTAGGGCAAGCTCAATGCTCGACGGCCTCCAAACGGGATACATAGGGATGTTTTGGACATTAAAACCCCCGGGTGCCCGCAATGAAGAAACGCTGGCAATGACTCGTCGACTGTGAAGACGTAACAAGGAGATTTGGACCAAGGAGGCGAAGAGAGGCGCTGACAAAACCTCATCATTGAGATCGACAAAGTAAGCTGATGTCACGAATCTGCGAAGAACGAGCCAGCCAAACTTCTCGTTGCTAGAAAAACTTGGAAGGCCTCTACGCCTCCGAGAAAACTGAATCTAGTCTTCAGAACCTGCAGAAAAGCACACTCTCTATGCGACAGGTTTTTGAACAGTAGTTTCTTGCTCATACAATCAGCCCACCTGCGGCGGCTCCCCCGCGGCCCCGCGCCCGGTCCAGACCCGGGTCCCCTTGGCCCAGTCGTGGATGAAGATGGTGTGGTTGTTGTCCGTGGCGACCGCGGCCAGGTACCGGCCGTCCGGGGAGAACGCCGCGCACACGATTGCGCACATGCCCTCCTCGTAGTCGATGCGGCGGACGAGGCACTGGTCGCGGGTGTCCCACACGCACACGAACGGAACCACGCCGTTCTGCGGGACGGAAAACGGGCTTAGTATAGAGTGAGGTTGTAGGATACGATCAGTATGAAAGGCCCTGAGGAGAGACCTGAAATCGTCGCCAACCTATCATAGGCAAGAAATCGCGTAGTCACTGTAGATCCAACGTTTGTAGCGAGAAGGGATGCAGAAGCATGGAAGAAAACTTTCTCCGTCCTCGGCCTCTAAGTGACGGCAAATACGATTTGATAATGTTGTCTAGAGCATCAAGAATACCGTCAGAGCAATGCACCTCAAATTTCTGCGAGTATGAACCATGGAAGTTGGAACAAGACCGACTGTTCGTACTTGAAGCTCAGCAACTCATGAATGCACCGGATGATTCCGTTCGTGAACAATCGATTGCGCTGCTTCGAGCAACGATCTAGGCATCGCTGTAGTGTCGTACCTGCCCTGTGGCCACCAAATTTCTGTCCGGGTGGATGGCCAGGCACATGATGTCGTCGGTGTGACCCAGGAAAAACTTTTGCGAGTGCGTAGTCTTGTTGTACACGATGCCCACGGCCGCCGCGTAGTACACCATGTCGCCGTTTGCTGTGTAGAACAGGTTCGGTGACACATTGTTGTGGCCGCTGCAGGCAAGGCAACGCTGTTTGGTTGTTTGGTGGTTTGGTGGTATGAGGAGAAGACACAAAATGAAAGATTGTAGCAGAGCAAAGGTGCAAAGTTTCAATATCACTGTCTTCGTTGGCGACCAATCTTACTTGAACTAGCTGTGTCCTTATTCTTCTCTGCCCGACTCAGATTGCGGGCTTGGGAGTCTCAGTTGTTAAGTAAGGGTTTGCAACCGGGTTACCGATGACGAAGTTGGCGACCTCACCTGTAGCCCTGCACCCATTCGAGGCGCATAGACGCCTTTGGCGGCTGCGCGGAGCGCTCCCCCAGCGCGGGGTTCCAGTCACTGGGCGCGAACACGCCCGTCTTGCACTGCAGCGCAAAAGTGCGGCATCAGCGGCTTGTGGTCAAGAAAGAAGCAGACTCTATCAACGGTTCTGCAATATTCAAAGCTTGAGGATCTATAAAGTTCTGGTATTCTGCTGGGATCGGTTCTGGTAATTACAGTATAAACTTGGCCTTAAAGCACATCTTTTCCCGCTTGTTGAAGCCCACACTCTCTATTCCATCTGCCCTTTCTTGACGTTCTTTAAGCGATTGGCCACCGATCTCTCTGACCAGAATATCAGCTTCCCAAACCACCGTCCACCTAACCCCTATGCAGATTCAAAAGCCGAGCCGCACCCGCCTTCATGACAGTGGACGTCAAGGGAGAATGAGTTCCACTTGACCTCAGAAGCAATTGGACCCAATCATCTCCATATAGGCCTACTAAGAAATTTGCGAAGCTTTGATTGTCGGCACGTGGTCTCACCTTAGCATACATGATCTTGCCGAGGAACTCCTTTTGCTCGTCCTTTTCGAAGGCGCCCCGCCGGATGGCGCCCATGCCGCGCATCTTGGCGGGCAGCGTCAGCAGCGCGTTCGTGAACACCTGGAAACAAGAACGGGGTTTGTGAGCCGTCTCTTCGGCCCTTTCGACTGATTTTGGCAGAAAGCGGGCTGAATTGCACAAACCAGGGGTCAATGGATTCTTGACGGACCGCTCCAAGACCAGCGGGCACCGGAGGTCAACCTTTCCTGGCAAAAAGCCGGGACTGAAGAACGGGTCACTGAACTGATTCCTTCTTTTTAAGAATGGGTTTATCGAGGCAAGTTGGGTGCACGTGTTTGCTGGGTCACCTTGGCACTTGGACGGTGACATTTATGATTCAATGTGACGGCGCCGTTTGCAAGTCCATATTCCACGAAAGAAGCCGATCCTAGAGTAGACCATCTCTCAAGGTACCGCTAACGACGTATGTGACCCAAGGTGTAACCCAATGCGCAACCAGTTTTGCAGCGCCGCACCTGGTACGGCATGAGCCCCTGCTTGTCCATTCCGTAGACGTGGAAGAAGGAGGCGGCCTCCTCCTTGGACACCTCCACGCCCAGCAGCGCCCACGCCTCCACGAACTCCTCCAGCGTCACACGGCACACCATTGTACGCGCGACCGCCCGGAACGTCCGCTGGAGCGCCTGCTTGTCGCTGGAGAAGAGAGTCAAAATACTCATGAGCGTGACTCCGATGTGGCCTTGAATGGCGACCAGATGACGGATGTCCGGAAAGTTGGCAGGAGCCCCTGCTTTGGGTAGAAACCGAATGAAATGACGCAAAAAGCAGTAGTGCAGAGTGAAAAAGAGACGAAAGCGACCGTAATGCCCGCTTCTTGCTGCAGAGGGAAGATGTCTGGTGCGGAATGCCCTATGGTCTGTTTGGAAACAGGCCACCAAAAGGCGACCGTCCAGGTCGTTCGCAAGTGTGTCTGCTCGACATTGCAAAGGGGGGAAGCAAAGATAGTCGGCGGAACTGCGGTATGTCCAGAGAGAACAGACGGACACCACGGATGAGACGCTCTTGAGCCATCATCCGCTCTCTCTGAGAGAGTAGGAGATGGAAACTAATCATAGGACTGCGATCTATCAAAAAGGGGACATGCGAAAGGAGATCCGCAGCGAAGAGGGCGACTATGCATGGAGATGGACAGAACTTGTGAGGAATCCCTCCAAGCAATTGGCGAAATTGGACAGAGACGGGGCAAAAAGACAGGGAAACCATCAGCGTTCTCCCTGTCCCTAGACAAGTGCACTCTCAGAATGCCTCATATAGGCGCTTGCCAAGCACAACTGTTGACTAGGGGTTATGAATCGGCTGCTTCGAGCTTGGCAGGCCGCGTATTGGTTTCGAGCGGTGTTTCCAGGTTGCCAATTCCCCCCATTGAAACGGCCTTGTTGCAGGCTGCGCCTCACCCCTCGTGCAGAGTCCTGCGCGTCTTCATGACTTCCTTCATCTCCTTCTCTTTCTCGCCCAAGCTCACCAGGTTCAGCGAACGGGTCCTGCTGGGGACGGGAGAGTCACCATCAATATGATTGTGACGTATCATACATGCCACAGACTCTGCAGCCCTTGGGAGTGGTGTTGGCCATGGTCAGAGTACCCTTACCAGAGTAGCAGTAATTAACAACCACGGACCTCCAGAAAGATGTTTATGCTGCCATGCGCTCATTGTGAGAGCTACTCAACCAGAGAACTCAGAGCAGCTTCTTCTTGTGACAGGAACCAGAAACGAAAATCCAATTGATCTTTCCAAGGGCTATGAGGCACTCCTTTCACTTCAAGGCTGTCTCACAGCGCGCATGTCAACAGATCATTCTCGGACAACAATTGCGATCGCCATTACAATCTTCTCTATATCCTTCACTTGTTGGAGCTTCATAGGTACCCTTTTAAAGCATTCTTTTCCACCAGTCATGATTCTTCTCTTCCCCCTCACCTGAGCGTGAGATTTTTTCCTGACAGGGTCCTGGTAAGCCCTCGCTTGTTGAGCTCCTTTGGCGACACGCATTCTGCCGTGCCCCAAGTATCCTCTGACCAGAATGGTGGCCGGTACACTTTTGCTTCAATCGGAGGGGACTGTGGCAGCTCGTAGTACATCTTGGGGATGTCGCGCACGCGCGGGCGTCGGACGGGGGACTCAGGGATGGACCGTCCGGCAGATGAGGCAGACCTGCGAACATGAATCCTCTCAGATGAGCTCACACAATGTGAAGAAATAGGAAGAAAGGCCAATGGTCTTAGTCAAAGCTTTTGCGGGATGTACAGAGAGGGAGAGCCAGTTTGAAGGTACGTTAGTGAGTGACCATGCGGGTTCATTTACCTGCAAGTTTGAATAACTCACATAAATCGCAAGTGGGTAATTCTGGTTTTGGGGGCTGAAAATTGGCTCCTGTCAAGGCAGCTTGCAGGAGCTTCTTATACAAGTTTCTCCAACAACACAATATCTTTAAAGTGATGATGCAAATGGACCCAGAACAGCTGAAAGCCACTTTTTAGCTCCCCCTTCTTCTGTTTACCACTGAAAGTTCAGCCCAGGCAGCATGTCCGGGGCCCTATACCACACTCAGGTTTTCAAATCTGATGAGAACCGGCCCCCCCGTGCCAGCTGCCCCCTCACCTGGGCCGTACTCTTTCTGCGGACTGCGCCCTGGCCCTGCTGCTCCCTGCAGTCCCAGGCCTGTTCTGCGCCCCACCGCTAGCTGGCCGGCTCTTTGCTGATGTGCCCCCGATGCCGTCCCTTCTCGTGTCGGTGGGCCACTGGCTGGGGGGTAGAACGATGGAACTCATGTGGCTCCCCTGAGAGTTACGCCCGGGGGTGGCGCTGCGGCTGGGCTCGCCCCGCCGCTGCTGGGCCCCCATCCTAGTTGCCTTGTGGTGCCCTACGTAACACTTCGAGCTTTCGAAGCAGGGTAATCAGCAAATTTCAGCTTGTAAGAGGCCGTCCACTGGGGAAAGGGCTTTAGCCATGGTTTAATCCTCTGCTGATGCAAGCATCAGCACCCTGCATTTCGAACGTGTCTCGTTAGACACGTTTCCTCAGCCGCAAATGGTCGTTGCATTGGACATATGATCACAGGGCCCAATGCCAGAATTGGCCCGCTGTTGCCCCAACCCACTTTTCAGACTCTATGCAATGCAATGTCCCGCTAAGCCAATAAGTCCCTCATCCTGTTTGTCTTGACAGATCCATGCATCTCTCAGCGTTAGTTTTGCTACAGACATCAACAATGTTCACTGTGACTTTCCTAGCTTCTCTGCATCTGTATCAAATACGCGCCCAAATGCTGCTCTAGCGGCTCGTTTCAGACCACACTCATGAGATTGATGGTGTACACATTGCATTGGCTCTGGCTTGCATCTCCGGCTGACGTCAACTAGGTATTTGCTCTGTGCTTGAGTCGCACCAATTGGTGAAGCAGCTAGATTAGAGGCGCGTTTCAATGATTCGGTATGACTGTGCGTCGGCGGTTTTGTAGAAACATAAAGCGGTTGCAAAGCCTGAGCAACGACCATTCACGTAAATGTAGATATGTATGGTGATGCAGGGCTGATGGACATCCCCAA